ACCAAGATGCGGTGATGAAACACCTGTGGGATCAAGGCGCTATATCCTATCTGATATTCGTCCGGAGAATGTCCCTCCGTGGAAACCCATACATCAAGGGTGTCTTCATCCTAAACCACAAAGACGCCACGACACCCTCTGAGTTCGAGTACGTTCCGCTTTCCGAGGATCATATCCGCCCAGTAGTGAATGAGTTCCGAGAAGAACTCTCGATGGAAAACAATGGTGTCGAGTTAGGCAGTCTTAATTAAGGAGGTCCACCGGAAACCTGATGGAGGGGCAGATGGTGTGAGTTCCAGAAATAAATAAATACTTCATACCTCTGTGTTCTGGGCACCTCCAGCGCGAGGCATGGCTTGAGCCGAAGCAGCAGCAGCAACAACAAAACTCGCCAAATCCTTCCTCAAGGATGCTCTTGTGGTTGTCCTGGAGCGTCGTCTACCCACAATCTAACCATCAGGCACTGTTGTACTACCACCTATGAGGAAGGGTACGAGTCGTTGTCAACTGAGCTGGCCCAGCGATCGAGAACTTGTGAGGTCGCGCGATAAAGTCTAGGAGCGAGAGCTCTGGATCCCGTCAGAGATAGCTCCAACAGCTATGCTGGCCTACAACTCCAGCATGCGCAGTTGGCTTATCTCCCACCAAAGCAGCAAGAAAGGATCGTCCTTTCCATCATAGTTAAGAAAATAGTACGAAAGATTGAGACCGATCCTGATTAGCTTGTAGCCCCATTGATACCGCAGCAGTTGATACCAATCCTGTTGAGGCCGGGCAGAAGCAGTAGGAGGTAGCAGATAGTACTGTTCCCAGACTGCCACTGCACGATTGAATAACGAAGGCCCCCAGCTCCTGAGGTGAGCTGGCCAAAAGGGCCCAGCAGAGAGCTCTGCTGGCCCTCCTGTCTGACTGACAGGGCCAAGTCCTTGGTTTGGTGCCTACTGGAGGTGTTGGAATACTCCTGAGGCACGACAAGGCTCCCTGAACTGCCTGACTACCGCTGTCCCTGAGGAAGGGTTTCAGCGAGGCCCAGTCCACTACTTGGGTATTGGAACTGAACCTTCCAGAAACTTATTGATTCATTGAGCCAAGTTGACTGGCTCCACAGTGGCAAAATCACCAAAACCAAGGCAATTCCCAGCACCACGGCAACACAGGAAGCAGGCTCCAGACCCCCTACACTGGCTACCTTATTCAAGAACAACCCACTTGAATTTCCTAGCCCCATACCGAGATCCCTGGAAGTATCCTTTGTGGTTTCCAAAGTACAGTTGAGTCAGCCTTATTCTACTGCTACAAGAGCTGAAAACCAGTGCTTCCACCGGTACAGCAGGTACACCTCTTCTTTGTCAGTAACAAGAGGCACCATGTCTTTCTACGGTTTCTACAGCGATGTGAGCGACCCTTATGCACCTGGCTACTCCGAACGTTGGTGGCACCACGCCTACCCTGGGCCCCAAGTCCAAAGTAGCCACACCGCCTGTGCCCGCCCCACACACCACGATGGAGCCGGCAACAGTAACCTTGCCTACCGCCACCGGCATCGGGAGACACAGCCACCAGTGTCACGACCAGATGAACACAAATCCGTCTTTGGCATTCTTGAGAAGACACCGGCACCACCTGTGTCAACAGTGTTCCCACCAGACGCATACACATCACCCTTCGACATCCTTGAGAAGAGGCCGGCACCAATGGCCTATGGTAGGACCAAGCACCAGCTGGGTGATGGGGAGATCTCAGAGCTGTCTCCCAACAGCTCCAGTTGTCACCCAGACCTCATCTATAACCCAGCCATGGAAGACATGCTGATCCGCTTTCAACAGCAACAGGTCACCGTTGCCCGGCAACTCGACCTCATGAGAGCTGACCACGCGTCCCTCAGACGAAACCTGAGAGCTGATCATGAATCCTTCAAGCAACACATGGGAGCTGACCACGAAACCTTCAAACGAAAGATGGAAGCTCAGTTCATCGCCTTGCAGGACCAACTGACAACTCAACTGGAAGCCTTGGTCGTGGTAGCTGCTAGGCCACCTGTCACAGCACCTACACCTGCTTTGACACCACCAGTTCATGGGGAGACCAATGCCACTCCACTGCCAGCCATGGGCAGTGCTGATGGCGTCCACAAGCCGACTGGTGATAGCGCTATTGGTACCCAAAGGCTCCACAGCCCAAAGAAGCAGCAGTGCCACGGGGCTACTCGTTCCAAGCAAGATGCCACTGCCATCCAGCAACGACTGGATGCCATTGCCATCAAGCAACGATTGACTGATGCCCTCTTGGCCACCAACCAGCTGTCCACCAATGTAGCCACGGCTCCATCTCCCAAGCTAGCTTGTGGGGAGTTGCCTGTCACACGACCCCTGCGTGTCCCAGCTACGAGCCACCAGCTGCCCAATGCCACACCCTTGAATGCCCTCGCTGGTGCCCATCCATCGTTGGATGATGGGGAGATTATCGAGCTTGCCAGCCCTAGTAGTCATCCAACCTCTGGGGAGATCATGATGGCAAAACCTCCAGCCAGCAAGCAACCAGCTTCCAGAGCTGGTGCCAACAACATTCCAGTTGCACAACCAAACAGACCAAGTGTGGCTCCCACTCAGCCAGCTCTACAACCAAGAGCACATGAGCAGACTCACACAGTGGTGACCCCCAAGCAACCTGCTCCAAGGCACAGAGCACACAAGGGTCCCACCACAACCAACATTGGCAGGAGACCTAGTGGTCTATCACCCACAGTGACACCCAAGGTTCCCAGCCTGGTTCCCACAGAACCACCAACCTATGGCACAGCCAATGCCACAAGACTCGTACCCAATGAGGTGCCTTTGTCTTTGGATAGGACCAGCCTTGGTCCAACCATCACCAGTCCATTTGCCAGGAGGCCCACCAAGCAGATACCCTCTGCTCTTGGTGGAATCCATGGGGAGCAACCACAGCAGGCACCTGCAACCAAGGCAGCTTTGATGGCTCCTACCCAGAAGCTGACTGCCGTAGTGTCTCCTTCCCAGGAGCTGAATGCCACGGTGCTTCCTACCCCGAAGCTGGCTGCCATGGCCACAGTACATGGCAAGGGACCAATACCGGTGACGCCGTTGGATTTTCCTTAGGGCGATTGATTCATGTTCCTGATCGATCGAGCCCAAGACCCACAGTCAAGGAACATGTATGCGGGGCAAGAAGGCCGCTCCACTGAGAGCTTGCCGCCGCTGAAATCGGCCTGTGGCAAAGCCACAATATTTGTCTACATATGAAGAAAACAAAGCAACAACTATGACAGCAACCAGCACCGCCGACACCTACCTAGTCTGGCCATGCTGATGAAGCAGGCAACACCTTTGCCTACCTTTGGTCCAGCAACCAACCAACCATGTGCAAGTCCCTCCACAGTTGAGATCCCCCATCTTGCATTGTGTTCCACTAGCAGTCGATGCTGAGTGGCCCATGGATGTTCCATTCATGGGGAGAGTTTGTAGATAGTTAGTTAGTAACTAGTCGTATATCGTGGCATTCCCATGAGAGCGGATCCATTCGCACTCGTGGGGAGCGATAAAGTCTAGGAGCGAGAGCTCTGGATCCCGTCAGAGATAGCTCCAACAGCTATGCTGGCCTACAACTCCAGCATGCGCAGTTGGCTTATCTCCCACCAAAGCAGCAAGAAAGGATCGTCCATTCCATCATAGTTAAGAAAATAGTACGAAAGATTGAGACCGATCCTGATTAGCTTGTAGCCCCATTGATACCGCAGCAGTTGATACCTATCCTGTTGAGGCCGGGCAGAAGCAGTAGGAGGTAGCAGATAGTACTGTTCCCAGACTGCCACTGCACGATTGAATAACGAAGGCCCCCAGCTCCTGAGGAGAGCTGGCCCAAAAGGGCCCAGCAGAGAGCTCTGCTGGCCCTCCTGTCTGATTGACAGGACCAAGTCCTTGGTTTGGTGCCTACTGGAGGTGTTGGATACTCCTGAGGCACGACAAGGCTCCCTGAACTGCCTGACTACTGCTGTCCCTGAGGAAGGGTTTCAGCGAGACCCAGTCCACTACTTGAGTATTGGAACTGAACCTTCCAGAAACTTATTGTCGCGAGATAATAGAGCCCCCAGATTGGTACCGACCGTTCATGCTGTAGCGTACAGCTCACTTGACAGTACCATGACCGCTGTGTAGAGTGATTGAAGTAGACTAATTGTTCTATGGTGGTAAAGTGTTCAGCTTGACTACAGCATTCGTTCTAGCAGTGTCTTTTCCCATCTTGGGTTGAGCGATTTTGGACACAAACTCGCGATATCCTCGTGTTGTTGTTTAGTCATGAGTATGTGGGACTAAGTAGTCGGTGAACCTCCTTAATTAAAAACTAGGACAACCAAGACTCTCTGTTTCTTCATTATAAGAGGCAAGTATCGACTATCGTAGAGAGGGTGGTAGAAGTGTACATACGCTTGTGTGGTACATGCCTGTGTAGACTGCGAGAGTTCATTCAAAAAAGATGGTCCTATGTCTTTGAGAGCAAGTAGGGCGAGACAGGTTCCAGTCAACAACCGGTGAGAACACAGCAGAACACATCATTCGATCGCTGAAATCAGTGTCCGTACTCACGTTATGTTCATGGTGGACATGTTTGTTATCTCTTGTTATCTTGATATCTATCTTCGCCCAGTATGGCGCACTCTTGCTTTAATGGCATCCTCTTTGGCCATGACAAGCTCCCATAGACTCTCGCCAGCCACTATGGGTGGAATTCTTCCCCACTTGGGCATTTTCGCAATTATGGCATTGAAGAATGGCTCGCGATCTCTCTTCATGATGAGATTCCCCACTCCAATAATAGCGGCAGTGCGACACGAATTGGGTCTAGTGTTGTCACCTGGTTTGTCATAGATGTGGCACGTCCTCTTAACTCGTTGATCGGCCTCTGAGAAAGCTTGTGTGGCTTCTGCCTCATTCGCAAAGCCCCTGCTGATTGCTTTTGTTCTAGTGTCAGGCGACCAAAGACAGTCAACTAGATCCGCTAAGAACAACCACATGATTCAGCTGTTCTTGTTGTCTCGTCCGCAGTAAATCCACCACGCTGTTCGATAATTCATGTAGTTTGTCGGAAATTGTGGCCCGCAGCAGCACACCGTTGTTGTTGTTGTTGTTGTTGTTGTTGTTGTTGTTGTTGTTGTTGTTGTTGTTGTTGTTGTTGTTGTTGTTGTTGTTGTTGTTGTTGTTGTTGTTGTTGTTGTTGTTGTTGTTGTTGTTGTTGTTGTTGTTGTTTGTTGTTGTTGTTGTTGTTGTTGTTTGTTGTTGTTGTTGTTGTTGTTGTTGTTGTTGTTGTTGTTGTTGTTGTTGTTGTTGTTGTTGTTGTTGTTGTTGTTGTTGTTGTTGTTGTTGTGTTGTTTTTTCTCCTACCGGACGCAGTTGCGCTGGCGTTGGCGGTATCGCGTGATGCACTACTAACCGTTGACGACCATTGTTGTTATTTAGGTGATCTTCTCTAATTGGAGGACCCGTAGCAGTTGGTGGTGCTAATTGTCGCGGAGGAGAATTCAAATTCAAATCCGGTGTTGTTGGCGATGGTGGCTTCTGACAGTTCCCACATAGGCAATGACCAAGCTCACTATATTTCTGTCGGTGTGATTTGACTGCTTTGATGAATTTGGCGAAGAAGCGTTCGCCATTGTCCTTTGGTAGCATTTCTGCATTGGGAAAAGGACTGGAGATCCCAAGTGCATTTGCCATGGCATTGATGTGCCTGAGCTCTGTGTGATTCCAATACGGCAGCACACGCTTCCATCCCGCAGGTATGTTTTCCCTCTGTTGTGGACCCAGTGATATGAGTCCTCTCTTGTGCCTGATATTGAGGTTGTATCGAGCTGTTCCACACAGGTTCAAACTGTCACACAGACGGCTCCTCATTCCAGAGTTTGCGAAATGGGCAAACCGGTCATGGAATGCTTCCAACTTGGACTCACCTCTCTTGGACAAGAACTCTGTAAGTCCATGTTTCGATAGCGGGGACGGAGGAATTTCGTCATACATTTGTTCGATGCTCATTGGATCCACCAAGTGATGTGCTTTTTCCTTGCAGTTCTCAACAGCTGGCTTGGTGTCACTTGTAAATAAAGGAACTCCCTTGACTGGATCAAGCCTTCCCCTTCCTGGTCTGTTCGGATCCGAAGAGGTGACTTTGTATCGACAAAACCAATTATCCAGTCGCTGGATCATTGTTTCTGGTTCTCGAAACCTTTTTCTAAGATACTTGGCGTATCTGTCGCGAAACAGTTTGGTACCTTGCAGGTCTCGAATGTCATCGGAAGAGTAACAACGGCCTGTGGAGGAAAGTGTGCCGTCCTTCAGGGCCTTGAGGAGCTTTGCGTAGTCCTCGTCATGATAGACATAAAGGCAGTTAAGAAGATCAGTAAGTGCGTCTCCATAATCAATGTGTCCCTTTTTCATTGTACCGACGATTCTTTTCTCATAATGAAACAGTCCCAATCGTCCTTGCAATTGAGGAAGCAGCGAGAGCCAAAATTCTTTGCCATTAGGCCAAGTATCACTGTACATTGCCTGTGGAGTAAAGTGGGTACATCTTGCAAGAAGATTGGTCGCATGAGAGAAGTGAATGGCTTTGGTTGAAGGAACCAGCACGGCAGATGCTATTTCACCAGTTGAAGTGGCACAGTCCCAGACAGCTACAGCACCTAAGCTCTTCTGGTAATTCTTCACAACTTGGAAAGTATGGTCCTGGCAGAAGATTCCATTTATGCACTGGACGCTTTGAATCTCCCTTGTGTGACGCTCAGTGTCACTGATACCCCAAGGATTGTTCTTGGAGTTGGCAGCGTGGTCGTACAAGTCTCGAATGGTCTCTCCAAGGGGAGGAAACTGTCGAATGAAGACGCCATCCTTTTCCAAGTACTGCTGTTTCACAAAGGTCTCCGGTTGCTTTTTCATGAGAGAGTAGTAAGATGATAATCGCTGCAAACAGTGCTGATTGACTGCATTGTACAATAGCTTAGGCCGGTCTCTACCGGAGGGACTAAAGTAGGGACTAAAGGAATCCTTTAGGTGGTTGTTTAGTTCAAGATTTAGTCATTATCCTTTAGTAATGGTGGTGTCTACCAGCAGATGACTAAATCTCGGACTAAACAATTTAGTCCAGTTTTTAGTCAAAAGGTGGTGTCTACCGTGGGACTAAACAAAAACCAGCGACTAAATCCATTGCAGGGTGCTGGACTTAAAGGACTCAAAAAAGATTTAACCAACGTGATCACTTGGTGGGCTACCAATATTCTATCAGAATGGTGGATTTAAAGGACTCAAACAAAGACTTAACAGAAGTGATTGCTTTTTTGAGATAACAAGACTCCCTCAAAACACACCATTGCCATGCACCTCTCCTCTATCATTCATTTGATCGTTTATTTGCACCTCTACTATCATTCAATCGTTCGATCGTTTGCACCTCTACTACTAGTATCATTCATTCGATCGTTTGCACCTCTACTATTAATACTAGTATCATTCAATCGTTCGCACCTCTACTAGCTAGTACTATCGGCCGATACTCCTCTTCGATCGTACTATCGGCCGATACTCCTCTTCGATCTCTACTATCGGTTGGCCGATACCGTACTCCTCTTTGATCGTTCGATCGCACCTCTACTCTATCAGCTCTGTCGCGATGCTCTGATAGTGAGGCTGTGCAATGAGGCTGATGCTGTTCTTTCTTAAAGAGTTCTTAAACAAGCTTTAGTCCTTACGCTCGCTCACGGACTAACCAGCCTCCGGTTAGTCGGTGAACGAACATTTCGACTAAAGCCTTTAGTCTGTATGACCTTTAGTCCCTATGGTAGACACCACCCCCAGAGACTAAACTATCGACTAAACTATGAAATATGGCTTAGTCGCTACTTTAGTCGCTCTGGTAGAGACTGGCCTTACTGCATAGTTCACTGTTCGCATAGGTCAACATGATAGTATCGAACACTTGTGTGGTGGTTCTTGAAAGGTGACTTGCTCTTTTGGCAAGGGCATATTTAGGCTCCACTGGATAGAGTGTGGCAACATGGGGTGGAATTGCAACTAGGACTTTGCCATCGTTGGCATCGAAACGTCTGGAGCACCGATTGCATTTCATTGACATCATAATGCACCACATCGGACTGCCATCCAAGGAGTGAATAGGGAAGAGCGTCTTGTTATGGGAGAAGTTCGTTCTCTTATTACGAAGAATGCCAGGGCATTCGGCATTGGGGCAAGGTACAATAACTCCCTGCCTTTCCCAGTCGACCAGTAGCAACTTCTGACCCACAATGGAGTGATAGTGTGGCGATGAGATTGCATCAGGTGAGTCGGGAATTATCATCGTGATGCCATCCTGAAAAAATTGGTTGAATACGCCATCATTCTTTGGGCGGATCACCTTTTGAGCTACTTCATTGGCCAAAGCAACCATAGCTAATGGCACCCCTTTTGACTTGTG